AGGGGCCCGCAACGGCCCAGAGCGAGGAGCCGTTAAGGCAGCCCCAGAAAAACAGATGACGCAAGAGACCCTTACAAGAAGTTACAGTCAACACAGATGACGGATGCACGAGAAGCCCGGCTTCAAGACCTAAGAATGTAAGGATGCAAGGAAGAAGTCCCACTGTCTGTGAAAATGGACTGGTACAGAGCAGAGTGGCTGACACAGCCAGGAATGATGCCGCAAATGAGAACCAACCAGAAACTTGTGAGATGTGACACCGATCCACGCTTTACGCTCACAGGGAAATAAAAGAATCGCCCAATTGACAGTATGCCACTGACCACAGGCATTCGAGACCCTAGGGATGGCACCTGATGTACCTAAGATGCTCATTGAGCACAAAGACCAATGAAGAACTGGAGACCCAGGTAAGTTTTAAGATGCATAAGACGGACCACACAAACAACACAACACCACAGACACAGGCCGGAACTGCCCTGCCCGCCGGGGCTTAAGAGAAACCCCTTCCCTTTACTGGCCCAAAGGGGCCTGTTCCGGGACAGCCTACTCCCCTATGCTAACTTCGCAAGCCCTCCCCACAATGCCCAACCGTGGTCCCCTCCCTACAGACCCTCCCCGGGCCCTGATCCCTCTACTTCGCTTTCAGAGGGACACGGTTCTAAACCCATCCTCAACAGAAAACGCATCGGCTATCTGGGATGCTCCTGCAGTCGCCAGGTTCCGCTTCCTCCTCTGCAAAAAAAGAAAACCCAAACACAGTTCTGACAGTAAGCATCAAGCTGGCCAATGCAACACCTTCCACAACATCCCCGTCCTCAGAAGCACCAGGATTCTCCACACACCTGCCGGGTCCAGAATGGGATGCTGCAGTCCTCATCGCTCTTGATATCCCAAGATACTAAGAGACAAAATTACCGTTGCGCTGCTGAGAAATCATCCGCCCCATGCTCCTCCTCACTAACGCCTTGGCTCACCTCAAACATTGGACCAATGCCAAAGGCCCCTGCAAAAGCTTGTAGCTTTGCCAACAATAAGACACCTGAACATTAACTGCTACTGCAGGCTGCTAGTCACAGCTCACCTTGCCCGAGTCACCTCTGCTGCCCGTAAACCCGCTTTGCGCCTGCAAATTTAAAAAAACCGGTCACATCTTCCCTCCAACATCACATGCGAACCCACCTTCTTATGACACTCCGCTCACCTCTCCTCTGTCACCCTTTGGCGCACGGCTCATTCCTCTGCATCTGCAAAAAACATATTGTAGAAGTCATCCCAGTACTGACCAATAGCTTAGGAATTCCAGAAGTCTTGTTTCCATTCAGAAATGCCACCCAGAGTCCAACTACAACCTGCCGTTACAAAAAAAACAAAATCAAAAGCAAAAGAACGTTAAGCTCTTCACATACAAGCCTTAACACCCTTGAGGTTCAAAGGCCTGACGTTGGGCCCTCCATCTTCAGATGTGGAGGCCCAGAGGGTTTGCGTTTCATCTCCTGTGTCTTTGCCATAGCTCCCCGCCAGCAGCAGAGAGACTCAAACAAAATGAACCTCATTGATATCCCATGGAGACTGCAAAACTAAACTCAGAGAAACCAATAAACCCTCCTCGCTTCCTCAACCGTCCCCCCATCTCAAAGCTTTAGAAACTCTTCTCTTCTTCTGAACTGGCAAAGAAGGAACCGCACACCCCCTCCCGACAGCCGCTTCCCTGTATTTGCACCCCTAAACTCCCCGCATCGGCCGCTCCTCGGGAGCCTTTCTTCCAAACCATGCCCTGTGTTCTGTAGGCATCTCCCACATTACGCCTTCCCGCAGCCTCGGGGATCTGCTACAGGACCACAAAGTAAGTGAAGCCCCAACGCTTATAATCTATGAGGGGCCCGCCACGAGCCGCAACGTTTACAGGGGTGACGT